AAACTACTACCCAAGTACATTGGCCCATTTCGTGCATTGCACCGCCTAGGCAATGCATACACGATCGAGTTACCACGTAAGATGCGAACGCATCCCACGTTTTACGTTGGTCGGCTTACGCCGTACCATCAGTACGCTGCTTCTTCCGATGAAGAACGCCCTTGCGCTCAAGCATCTCGCAGAGAGCCTTGTGCTCCCGATGGTGGGCATCAACAAGGGTCTGAAGAGCAGTTATCTCATCCCGAGACCAATCAGCAATCCCACGAGCTACCCTTAGCTCGTCACGAAGAGATGTCAGAGATCTCTCGTTCTCAAGCTGAGCAAAGGCAAACTCAGCTCGATGCTTCGAGGCAGTGTCCACCATCTGGAGACGCCTATTCCGCTCATGCTCGAGATCGTCGCGTAACCCTTGCGTTACGCGATCAAAGAAGCTCTCGGGAACACACCGATCCACATGATCGTGTGGAGAGCGTCTTTCCTCCTCCTCCACCTCCATTAGAGGACCCTCGCGGTGGCCAGCGCTATCTAGTTGAGCAGCTGTTGAACCACCGCGACGTAAACGGACGTCGGACGAGTTACCTCGTCCGGTGGCGCGGCTATCCCCCGTCCTGGGATACTTAGGAGCCCCGCTCCCAATTGATGGTTGACGTACTGGGTCTGGTCGAGCAGTACGACGCGGCACATCCTGTGCCGCAGAAGGACCGCCGGAGAAAGTCTTCCCGGCACGGTCGTAAAGGGATTTCAGGCTGTCAATCCCTTCGTACATCTCAGTAGAGACACGTACGCGCCACCACGGGCTGGTAAGGAGGTAAGCCTCCTTAGGTGCTCGTGCAGAGTTGTTCACACAACATGGGCACGAGTCTCCCCAAGAGAGGCAGGGTAATCCTTTCTCCCTTGACAGACGATGCAGCTTGTAGCGTGCACCTGTCGGGGTTCGCTTTTCAAACTTATCACGAGCTTTGATAAGTTTGTCGTTCCAAGCGTCACGACCTACATCCTCGAGGTTATGGATGTAGGCGTTCCACGCCTGAAGTAGTGAGGGACCATCACGTTTGTGATTCCCACTGTACCATCGATGTCTGAAGAAAGCATCGATGAAGAATTCATGTTCAGCGCGATAGTTTTTCGCGCTGGGGTCAAGGTGATGGATCCTTGATGAATCGAACAACCGTGTTCGATAACGATCACTCGTCGTCGCCGACAAGTGATCCATGACGGATTTTGGAGGCATCCATGCCTTCTTCTCGGGAGCGAGACGCAACACATTGCGGTCCCGCTCTTCCTGCGACGTGCTGACAGAAGTACTGGCACCTCGCTGTGAAGTGGTGTCCATTGGAGAACCGACACCACTATTAGCGCCCGAGTCTCGCGACCTCGAGCGCCTTCGCTTCGGCGATGGTTCATCTGACTCATCAGATGAACCAAAGATGCTGCGACGCAAAGCATCGTCCATGCCACGCTTGGCAGGCGGCTTAGATTCAATCGCCGTCGATACGGATCCGTCTTCTGTATCAGGAGAGTACGAGACACCGAGCTCGTACTCTGTGAAGACACGAGTGTCTTCATGACCAGCGCCTGCGTCACCAAGTGACACAGGCTGGGTCTCTTCAGCAACCGATGGGACATCAGTTGCTGTTGTTTCTGCTTCGGCGTCCGCACAGAGACGTGCAGACGCGCTCTCGGCGGCCTTGCTCGCGCATCGCATGGGCTTGTTTACCATGCGATGAGATGTTGGAAAGTGGACGCGGACCAACAAGTGCAAACCCTGTCCCAAATGATTTGGGACGAGTATCCATTTAGTCAATCAGTCACTAAAGTGATTGATGGTTAAGGGGGGGTGATGTAACGGGGTGAATCTTTACATAACAATTTATAAGAAATTGTTAATAGAATATAACTATAAGAGTTATTTTCTCAGAATATTTTCATAAGGACAAATATTCTGTAGCACTTACAAGTAGTTCCTAATTGGTTGATATAGGCCATTATATCAACCAACGAAGACGCGCCACGACAGACGCACGCAATGAGTGGTGAGCAGATAATTGATTTACACATTTGTATTCAGACATAGTTAGATGAAGATAAATAGTGATTTATTGCAGACATTAACTATTATAAATACAGTTCTACTTTTTACTCTAACCAAGTACTCGCTTCTTCTTACCGTCTTCCTCTGCACGTACGAGTGTACGTGAAGTTACGAGGCACCGCCTTATTCTGTTATCAGAATAAGTAGCTTGTACTGTCACCAGTACAAGCTTCAGGGTGCCCCGTTACAAGTAAAGTGACGACGTGTCGATTGTGATTCGATGCCAGCATCAATGAAAACGTCGATGATAAATTGACGACAATGAGACTACAGCGAGCTAGCAGCCCGTCGAAAGCTCCGTCAATTTGATAATGAGCTGATCCGATAAATCATGGGTACACGTTACTCCGAATTGCAAAATATGCTTGTGTTAAGTCGCGTCGAGCGAGCTGCCGACTTGGTCGGTTTGCTCACTAAGACGCGCAGTTAGTTGGTTGCATGGATCGTGATGTCGTGTGCGACTGAAAAGCCTTTTTGCACTTGTAAAAGCCATACATGTCGATTATAGGAGGCGACGCAGTCATGACCACATTTGTGACAACAATGAGTAAGCTAAGGTTGAAATCGCCAAAGAGGCAATCTGGCTACCACTAATATTCACGAGGTCACCTGCGTTGTATTCTCATCAACGACTCGAACAGCCGACACAATTGCAAGATGGTCTAGCTACGAATACGCTTCGCGCTTAATAGCTGTATTGTTTTAAAATGAGCATTCGCGTTGGATTGCTTTTTCGTGCGCGAGATGTATAACACGAGCATGACTTTGGAAATTTGTCGCCAGCTAAGCCGATTACCGCAAGATCACGTAATGTACACCGAAAAGTAGAGCTCGTTTGGCTTGCATTTCGTAGGAGGCCAGCACATCGTATAGTAGTAGCAACTTTATAAATAGATGGCTAGCCTTAGTCAGTAGTAGCATAAAAGGGAGATATTACTCAAAGTTCGAGCAGTGTTGAATCAGCGAATATGCTATACATCTAAAAATATTAACCTATGACTTAATTAAAAAGGAACAAAGTGCGAACTGGTATGCGCTCAGCAGTGCTTAGTTTTTGCTAGGTATGTCGTACGAGCATTTTCCACGCTTAGAATCTTCACACGCAGTTTGATACGGATGGTAGCACTGCCACTTTGAGAAACAAGTAACATTTACTGTGATAACTCAAGTTATTGCGGAGCTGAGCGCAACCTGATCGATGGTCGATAATGATGCTCTCATGACTTTGATGACCATGGCATGGCGTGAGCAAGGACGTTTCTCGTACCATGTGTTTTACAACTCCCATCGTAGGCGAGGCACTGCAAGTAATATTGGTTGTGGTGATATTATGAACTGAAGGTGATAAATAAACGTAATTTGAATTGGTACTTTTGCTATAGACACAGCAATGCAGCGGGTTGACATGTTTGTGATCGCGCGGAAACCTCTCAACGATCACGAGGATAGTTGTCGATTACTTGATTAATGACACCTAGTTCTTATCAAGATCGCCTTGTACACTATGTGGATGCTTGATTTGCGAGCGTTCTGAAAACTTGAGCCGTTTCGCGATCTTGCGCCTTGTTCTTTACGTTCTTGCTGCGTCCATTCGCAGTCGATGTTTTCGTAAGAATTTTTGATCCCCACCTAGTATTCTGAGAATATCACTTGGTTCAGTATGTGCGGCTCTCTTGACGTCGGGAATCCAACATTCCACCCAGCCCGGAAGAGAAGTCGACACGTGCACTTAGGAGCAGATACATTATCTTTAAAGTCAACCAAATAAAAGCTAAAACTACGAATATGCCTGTCTACACGCCATGATATGCTGTCACGTGTCTTCTACATTCCGTTGATCGTTCCTTCGCATACGTGGTCCACTTCAGATTTATCATCGGTCTTCTTGACCAATCGTCGATCTCCCTGACCGGTCGTCGACCCCCCTAATTGACCGTTCATCTCCTTGGTTGAACGTCGATCACTCTCTAGGACCATGATCCCTGTCAATCTGTCGGTCATCTTCCCTACTGTGAACATCTCGTGCGTTCTTGGTCTTGGTATCTTATCTCGATCTTGGCAGCTTGATATCCAATTCCGTTGCTATGATATTTGAACGCGGTACTGCGATATTCACTCTCGGTATCGTGGTATTTGACCTCGATTTTGCGATATTCGGTCTTAAAATCATGCGCATCTTAACAGCCAATCGATCCTTCTCGACGAATTTTTGCAGTTTGAGATCACTCCACCCACCGATCGCCTCCAATTGCTTCGATCCGCTTTACCACATCCATACTTGTCGATGCAAAGTCTATCAGTAGTGTTGAACCATGACAATATGCTGGATCGATTGATCACTTTGACCTAACCAAGTGTCTTCTGTGTCTTGTCATTATCATTTTAAGTCTTCATGTCCATTTTGTTGTATTTGAAAGTCCTAAAGGCGCTGGTAAATTCCTTTAAAGCGCCTTAATTTTCTACAACAGCACTTACGTTTTAACATCACAACTGATACGACTATACGTCCGGTATTCATAGTGCCTTGAGTGTCACCTTTAGATTATACACAGCTTCGTCTACATTGCAAGTTTAGACGGCATAATCTGATCGATCCCTCGTAAATATAATTGATGTGATAGATATACAAAATAAGCCGGACCACAACGTCAGGGCAAAAAAAAGATGCTCGTTGTCGTTCAAGTATACGCAAATTCTTTGTTTATACTATACTTAATTCATCACGGCACGTTTTCAACAAGCTATATGCCAAGAGAGGAAGAAGCCCGAAAGCACGGAATATACTCATAAGAGCCCTAAGATAGCATAGATTTATTGGGTGTATCGATACGATTAAATTTACTTGAAATATTCAGCCAATGAGATGGAACGGATTTGCCTTCATACAATTGCACCAACAACAGCATCTTCAGCGTACCTGAAGTAGCAGCAGTAGAACCTGTAGCAGCAGCACCTTAATCAACAAAAACAGCATAAAACGCAACAGCATTCAGCACAAGTGGCAGTGCCATCAATCGCAAGCGATTATCTACTGCTGCAACAACAACAGCAGCGTCAGCATACCTGCAGTAGCAGCAGTAACAATAAAAACGGATGCAACTGGAACAGCAATAACAATGATAACATTTGAAACAAAAATAACAAAAACCAAACCAAATACATCAACGAAAATAACAGCAGCACAGGTAGTCTGTGTGTAAGACCGCGTACGATGATTGGAATACGTTTCATGTCTTCTCATCGCCGTCCGCGCGCGCGCAGAACCCCGTACGGTGCTGCTCCTATAGAGCGGCGGTCGAGATCGAGAGAAAATGACTGATGTAACGGGGTGAATCGTTACTTAACAATTTATAAGAAATTGTTAATAGAATATAACTATAAGAGTTATTTTCTCAGAATATTGTCATAAGGACAATATTCTGCAGCACTTACGAGTAGTTCCTAATTGGTTGATATAGGACATTATATCAACCAACGAAGACGCGCCACGACAGACGCACGCAATGAGTGGTGAGCAGATAACTGATTTACACATTTGTATTTAGTCATAGTTAGATGAAGATAAATAGTGATTTATTGCAGACATTAACTATTATAAATACAGTTCTACTTTTTACTTTAACCAAGTACTCGCTTCTTCTTACCGTCTTCCTCTGCACGTACGAGTGTACGTGAAGTTCCGAGGCACCGCCTTATTCTGTCATCAGAATAAGTAGCTTGTACTGGTACCAGTGCAAGCTTCAGGGTGCCCCGTTACACCTGGTAGCACTTCGTAGTCCGTCCAAGGACCACGTTCACATCTAAAGGAATATGTTGGATGATGAAGATGACCAAAGCTTTCATGCTACGCGTGACGGCCACTCCCATTTGAGCGATGTCGAATGGGATGCGGTTGAACGAATGGGTTCAACCATGGGAATCCATGCTGTTAGCGTCATGCTAGAGGCTCTCAATAGAGATGCCCAACATGCTACTATCGCCAAGTTCATTCAAAATGAACTTGACGCAGAACGCGAGAAAGTAGCCTTGCTTCACCAACAAGGTTCTCAACAAGCAGAGTTGTTGAGAGAACAGGGCGCTCAACAGTTCGAACTGTTGAGACAGCAGCAGGCTGCTGCTGGTGGGTCGATGCACTCGCGTCGACCCGAAACTTTGAAGATTGACATCTCCAAGTACAGGGGGGTCGAAGAAGACTCCCTCTTGAGATGATTCGTCGAATTGGATGACGCCATAAGGGCGCGTCGCATCGACGACGAGGATATGCAAGTTGCATTTGCCCAGTCAAATCTGGCAGGACGTGCCAAGACTTGGGCACTGGGGCTCAAGTTGCACGACCCATATGCGTTTGGGTCGTTGGAAGTCTTCAATTCGCGGCTCAAACAAACGTCATGAACCGCCTAGAGCTGAGTTCAGGGCTCGAACCAAACTCTTGAAGCTCAAGCAGGGTAAGCGTGATGTGCACGCTTACGCTCAACATATACGACATCTCACGAGTTGTGTAAGTTCCAATCCGGTGGATGAACACACGTTGGTTTCGGTGTTCATGCAGGGTCTTGCGGATGGTCCCGTCAAGACTCACCTGTTCCGGCTTGAACTAGATTCACTAGAACAAGCCATTTCCATTGCGGAGCAGGAAGACTTCAGTCTGAGACAGGCTCGCGCCAGCTCGACATCATATCGTCAACCGAGACGATATGACAACGGAGGTCCAGAGCCGATGGAACTCTGTTATGTAGAGAGCGAGAAGGCTCGCTATACAGACTACAAGAAGTTGCAGAAATGCAACAGATGTCAGATGACAGGACACTACGCTTACGAGTGTCGTGCCCCTCGTCCAGTGTCTCGCAACACTGGGTGTAGTGACCGTCCACCCATGAGAAAGGGGCAGGGACGAGGGTCCGCTGTAGGTGCAAAGACGAAACAACGGGATGGACCGTCAAAAAACGGACAGGATCAGTAGGTGCGGAGCACCCTACTGGTCCAGCAACGTCAAGAGAATTCGTAGGCCTCTTGATGAAGGTTGCTCCCAACATACAAACGGTGTTCGTTGCT